ATGCAAAACAGAACTTACAGGATAATCCTGATGAAATAATTCTTAAGCCTGACAAAGCATCAGGTATTGTGTTGATGAAGAAAATACAGTACAAAAATAAAAGGTTGTCTATTCTTCGTGATGAATGTAAATTCATGACGGATGTTCCATCAGAGGATATAAGAAAATAAGGAGGAAAATTAACATCTAGTCTAGTTAAACTCCTTAATATGGATGTTATTGCTAAAGTGGAGTTCAACTCCATAAAACCCATGAGATCTACTTTTCCAAATCTATATGGACTTCCAAAAATTCCTAAAATCAATGATCCACTACACCCAATATTGTGAATGTGTCAGTCTCCCACATACAAATTGGTGAAATGGTTAGCCGGAATACTGAGCTCGATTCATAATGGTTAGTGTAAGTATTCACTAAAAGATACTTTTGAACTCGTTGATTGTCTTACTGATATGATTATCAGAGATAAGGAAATGTAGTCTTCTGGTGTTAACTCTTTGTTTACGAATGTATCTCTAATGAGGATAGTTTATATTTTTTGTGATTATATACCCTTGAAGTATCCTTCTTTGCCTATTTCTCAAATACATTTTAAAGCGCTACTTTTATTATATGCTGATAGGGTTTAATTCACTTTCGATGGCAAGAACTTTTGGTAAATTGATAGTATTGTTGTGGGGGCCCATTATAATTGTTATTAGCTGATGTATATATGTCATATATTAAACTAATGGCTCAGGATTTAATCAGTAATGTCACATTCCATAGAAGGTATGCTGATGATTTCATTGTAATATGTAACACAGATGAGGATGCTGTGGGTTTGTTAAAAGGCTGAATACCGTACAAAATCATATCAGTCTGATATATGAGGAAGAAACTGACCAATAGCTTGCACTTCTTGATATACCCTTGTATAGGAGGGAAGACGGATCCATCCGACGATCAATTCATAGAAAGCCTACTTGGATGGGACAGTACTTGAGTTTCTACAGCTTTTGTCTAATGAAATATACGAGAGGCTTGGTAAGAGGCTTATGCAATAAGATCCAACGTATTTGTACATCTGATACAATGGATGATGAGAGCGAATTCCTGACAAACACACTTGTGAAAAACGGATATCTATCACAGGTTCTGAACCGTTGTAGAAAATAGGTAACCCTAAAGCCCATAATTTTCTCGGTCCCGAAGGAGGATATATTTCCTAAAGTACTATACAAAGGGGAAACGAGTAGTATGATATTGAAACAGAGATTAAAATCTGTTATCAGTAAAATATACTACGCAACAGCTCAGTTTATAATTCTTGAGATAACAAAACACCTACTTTGCCCCAAACCCCAACTTCGCATAAATGATTACGTCACACCCCATTGTGTTTACCAATTTACATATATATGTAGGCACACATACCTAGGAGGAGTAGTCGTTAAATGCAGATTAGAGTAGGTGAACATATATAATTTAACACACAAACTTTGATAAGCACAGGTGATGGACATCCATCTTCATCTATAGCAAAATATATCATCGAAATGAATCATAAGGTGAATACGAAAACAACATTCAAGATATTATATACGATTAGTCAAAGGTGCATACTGAAATTTACCGAAGTGTTAGCCGTTCGTGAAGTGAAACCCCTTATTGAGTGTACAAAGACAATTTGTTATTTCACTTGATTCACCTTGGTAATCCTTAGTAATCTGATTATATTACCAAAACTAGTTATTGAATGTCACAACCTTTCAATATTCATTATATTTCACATATAAATTTCATATATAAATTGACTTGACAAGTAAATGTGTGGGGGATCAGATGGCTCGAAATGTATTGCGCAAATACATCACAAATTTTTCGGATAATCTTCATCTTTTAACAACGTTACCAAAATTTATCAAAGGAACTAATCGTTTCAAATGACTGCAGTATTTGCTGTATCCTTTGTAGACATAGGGACTACAATAATAGCACAAGAGTTTGAGTGAAGTTCTCGACGCATGCATAAACCAATCAGTGGTATCTGATCAAGTCATGAAAGGTGCTTGCATGTGTAATAATATTGACATTCAATTTAAACGTTTATAGGGATTTATTGATTTCAAGTTGGTATTCATCATCTACTGACTGACATCAGCTGGAAAACCATTGAAAACCAGGGAGTATACTGGACAGGTGTTTCGCCCTAGTAACGGACTCTTCAGTAGTGCACAGCCTTCACCTTTTCAGGGTTGAACTCAGGGATTTCAGGTTTCGCTAGCAGCCAGGTTATGAGTACGATCTCCGGCGGGATCACGGATGTGCACTACTGATGAATCCCGTACTGAGACAAAACAACTGTCCAATACTCCTTGGTTTTTTATGATTCTCCAACTGATTTCAGCCAGTGGGTGGTGAAAACCAACTTCAAATATTCTCATTGGTTATTTTTGTTCTATATTACTGTGACTGTGCTATCATTGTAAGCATAGATAATAAATATTGTGTGAATGAAATTATTTGAACTATTTGGTAAAACTGCTTGGAATACACGTATTTCAATTGCATTCTTGGTTGTTTCTAGATCATTCTGAATTGCTAGTCCTACGTGTGGATAATTACATGATCAATTCATAATTCAATTCTGTAAACAGTACTTTGACATATAACAAGTTGTCACTGTTCAAAACTTCTATTCCAATATAAATGACACATTCTTTTTTTATCGAATTAAAAGGAAAATAGAAGATTTACGCAATAGAAGTTAGAAATCAACCAAAAAAAATTAAATGAGATCATGAACTTTATGGCTAAGAAGAATATAAAGTTCATATTTTATTAATCCTTTTCATATATGAAATAATTTTTATGAATAATTAGAAACTAATGATATGTGACAATGTTAATGACAGCTGAAGTTTACCACTATTTGATTAATTGTTGGAGATGTGGTCAGTTAAAGTAAAATGGCTTACAACTACCACAATATGCAATTCTTCATGTATCTTAAGATCTAATTATCCATTTCATATTTCCTCATCGATATCAGATTAACAACAAATGAAATGATTCTTAGAGTGGTACACATCATCTTAACAGTTTTTCATTCACTCACTCTGCAACTTACTCATACCAAAGAAGAAATGTTCACAGCATGTAAGTGTCATTTACTTTGAATGGCTACATCTTACACCATAATTGACATGTAAGTAGTGTCATCAGAAGAAACAAACGAATAGCCCATAGATGTGATAAGTGTTAATCCTTTGTTTACAACAGCTCAGGGATCTGCCAGGTAATCGACACAAAAGACCAGGTATGTAAAATGATTAGTCATTGACTTACGCCGTCTTACGGATTAGTTACCGTTGCTAATAGAGGTGTTCAGTCCTTAGCACTGATTAAAGTCTATCGACCAAGTTTGCAGTATGGTTACTATACTGAATGATGTGACACTGTGACACACTGTGTTTGAAAAATAGTAGTTGGACATCCGTCAGCAGAAAACCATGGACATAAGTTTTATGCTCGTTGCTACTCACTAGCTAAATGTGTATGCAATTATTGAGAAATTTGTGTTTCCTTGATGACTTGAAACTGATGTCAGAAACCTTACTACTAAGCGTGAATAGTTCAGCAGTACACAGAATGACACTTAGATAACCCTATTTAGCCTTCCCCGGTTGTGTTATTACGATTTCTTATTTTAGTATATCGTTTATCGTCTGTTCCAATCACATCCCGGATTTTCATCCTTGTGAATTAAAACGCATCAAATTCCCATTATAATCCAGGTTCTAAGTAACTCGTTGAAATAACAAACTGGTGTCATGTTATTTTGCTCAAACTGTTTTCACTGGTAGGAGAATCAATTATACTGAGATAAGAAATGTAAAAGAGAAAGGAGAAATAATAACAGATAAGGTAACAATTATATGATTAAAATGATACAAAGTCAAATCATAATCATCAAGGTAGTAAGAGAGGTTAGATTGAAAACGTTACGTAGCAATCGCTTCCAGAAAGCGCGGTAATCCAGATATTTTCTGTAGATTTATTACCTTAAAAGTACTCGAGAATCTTTACTTCCTTTCAAGCACAGATTTTCGGGAATAAGTGCCCAGCTAACCAAATGGATTCCCTCCTCGCAGTTCTTTCATTTTACTTCCTATTGCAGGTGCATATGAATTCATAATTGCGGTTGGAGGAAATATGAGCGGGGTAACTATCCGATTTTGACTAGTTCAGCAAGCATGAGGTAATCTATACTGATACAAATTTAGTAGCAGGAAAGCTCCCTCTCAGTGTACATTTGATTCTTGTGTCTATTCTCTAAAAAGAAATATCTTATATCCTAATAAGCATCGTACTTTTAGACTACATGCAGCTGAGGATACACAGACAAACAAAATCAACGTACAACCTAGCACATAAGAGCATCAGTCCAAGTTACCACACTTCACAGTAATAGTATACAAAGAACAGGTGGACAGAAAAAGAGTGATATCAAAGTAGACAAAGTTGTGTGAGAGAATAAACAATCTGAAGATGAAGATTAGTGAGAATATTTCAGCTTAAGAAGACATCAAGGAGTGTATACATCTTCGCCATGGTGACCGATTTTCAACCATGTCACCAAGACTTTTAAATCACTGATTTCTATCGTCTCGGGAACCGCAGTCAGGTGATCTACATCTCCCAACACGGCTTAGACTGACAGTCAGGGACTTTATCAACTGGTGGGCCCGTTGACAACTATCACAACAGGCAGTATTACTAACCAGTAGAACAAAACGATCTATATAGTATTTGTTTACACACGTAACATGAGAACCAGCAATCCAATCACAAAACCATAACAAAGCAAGTAGAACTGTGTCATAAATTTACATTTCAAAATAAACAAGTGAGAGAAAAGTTAGATAAACTCTAACACACTAAGAAGTCATGACATGTTTTCTTAGTAAACAAAATTAATAGATCACCAGAGATCATTATCCACAACAAAAACTTACTGAGAATAGTTTTAGTACGCCAGAGAGGAGATACACTAGTCTCTGCAATAAATACTACAAACGGTAGAATAATAATCCAAAGGAGGTAACCAGCAGTAAATTGTACTGTATTGATATTTGGTCCTAATATGCATAAATCTAGATTGTATGACTCAGAATAGAGTTGTGCTATAAATTGCCTACGTCCAAGTACTGCAATATCCAAAATACTAAACAAATTCTTAAAGTTAACAGTAAACACCCGGGCACTGTATTCCAAACGGAAAAATCAATTACCGGATCACGATCAAACTATGTAAGAAAAAAGAAAAAGAAAAATTACTTGTATATTGGAATAAACTAGAACTTTAAGACACAAAACCAATTAAATGTTGTACTACAAAGATAATGAGGGCTAAATTAAGTAGACTTGGGCTACCAACAGAAGAAATGTGTTTGAAATATACTACTGAACGCCGTAAGCAGTTAGAAACCAATCACACTGAACTGTTTATTTTGCTACCCAGATGATGTAAACACTAGACAGCCATTTCATTCGTTAGAGAACAGATCTTGTGTTGCAACCGGACAAATTTAACTCACGGAGCCACATCGTTTAGACTAGTTAAATCTGACTTTAATTAGTGACTGTGCTCTATATAAACATGCTGAAACTTTACTACCTATCCTGATAGCATTCCAAACATTGATGTGTGGACAGAATATCTGAGGATGACAAGTAAAAGTAAATACACGTCTAGCTTCGTTACGACGACGCATTCAGTGGATATGGAAAAAAAGCGGGACACTGATTGGTTACTGAAAAGTAACCAACTTCATGTAGTCTAGTCATCACTTTTTCTCCTTCAACGATAATCTTCACAACAGAATGGTAAAATTAAACGACATACATGATACAACTAGGAAAAAGTTGAATGACCCTTTAACATTCCCGCTAAGATTTCGCCAAATCAATTCCAGCTATAGAAAGCAAGTGATCAAGGTACTTAGTCATTTCGTTAGAAAGCGAGATATTGATTTAGGCTTATCTTGAAGGGAACATTTTACAACAGAAATACCACCAGTAATGGCAGAACTACAAGTGAACACAGGCCCTCCGACAAAGACGAAGTCCTGAATGCCATATAACTGCTGAAATATAGGAAAGCAGCAGGATCAGGTGGAGTTCCTCCAGAAGCACTGAAAACAAATGCAGAGACAACAGTGGACATGATCACACCACTACTGCAGAAGGTTTGCAAGGAAGGAAGGGATGAAGGAAAAGTACTTGCCAACTGATTTGAAGAAGGGCTACCTCCTCAAACTTCCAATGAAGGGAGACCTAAGTCCTTCCAAGAACTGGCGAGGAATCATGCTGCTGTCCACCCAAAGCAAAATATAATGCTACATCATACTGGAGACTGAAAACTGCACTGAATTCAAAATTACGACCGGAACAGGCTGGCTGGATTCATGAAGTACAAATCATGTGCAGATCGAACCGCAACGCTACGCTAAGCATCATCACACAACAGAGCATAGAATGCCACTCAACTATCTACATCGCCTCAACTTCATCGACTTTGAAAAGACCCTCGACAGCGTCAACCAACAAGTAATTTGGCAACTGATTCAACACCAGGGTTTTAGTGCCACAAACCTTTATCAAACTCATTCAACAGCTACGACGACGCGACATGCCAAGTGATTCACAATGGAAAGATCAATGACACCTTTGAAGCGAAGACAAGAGACAAGAGTAAGACAAGGCTGCCACTTACTATCAGCGATCATCATTCTGACTGTGGTCTACTGGACTGGATCATGCAGCAAACCGTGAGAAGCGAGATAGGCATACACTGGCTGGACCGATGAAAAGACTCTAGAAGAAGATTTGGATTTAGCCGTCGATGATGATTTATGTCTAATGTCTTGTCGCACAAACTCGAAGATCTACAGGCAAAAACTAACAAGTTGACAGAATAGGCAGCGAAAACGGGACTTCAAGTGAATGTAGAGAAGATGGAGTTGGAAGTGATGAAGATACCCAACCAACAACAGAATCAAAAACAAGCACCAATCACCATTAACAGGAGAAACCTAAAGCAACTTGTCTCTTTCACCTACCCAGGCAACATAGTATCAATTACAGGTGGTGGTGGTGGCACAGACGAGGATGTCAAAACCAGGAGTGGAAAAGAAAAACAAGCCTTCCCGCATTAATCTGAAATCAGTGTGGAGATCTACTGCGCTCAGTACAAAGAACAAGATCCGGATTTTCAACACCAATGTCAAGTCAGCCCTGCTATACGGTTCAGAGACTTGGCACGTCACAAAAAGCATTTCCAATAAACTACAAACATTCACCAACAGCCTTCGCCTACGCTCACTCGATACTGACACTGAAGATCAGATGGATTGCCAGAAAAAAATAAGCAACAAAGAACTCTGGCCGGGGAAAGAAACAACCACTAACCCATCGTGCAACAAATATGCAGAAGAAAGTGGAAATGGATTGGATTGGGCATACACTGAGAAGGCCGACTGGGGACATCACGCGCCAGGTCAGGTCCTCGACTGGAATCCGAATGGGAAACGACGAGTTGGGCGTCCGATACAAGGGTGATATGGAGGAGATCATGTGAGGAAGAAATGAAAGCTTCTAGGCAGTCGTGGCGCCAGGTTCAAAAAGACTGCAGAGAAGAGTGCAATGGAGTCGTGCTACTGAATCCCTATGTCCCACTAGGAACCCAATGGAATAATAATAGTAATAATTCTTGTCTTCACAAGAAAAGTAACTACCTACAACATAGCACAAGAAATGTTAAGAATTCATATGAAAAAGCAACTCACCAGAGCCCATATGTATAACAAGGTTTTGACCCCGAAAAATAAAGTGACAAGGAAAATCACATACGGCCAAAACGATGTAGACTTCTGCTGATTAACCGATGATCTATCACAGATATTTTCCTCACTGACAGGATGACAGCTGTATAGTTTATGGCCGATTGTACTCAACTGCAGAAATCTGTTGGATAATTTGGATAATATTTTGGAGTTTAACAGGTCGAAAGTTTTGGAATGATTCCTTGAAGACTGGAATTTAATTGATGGGCACTGAGGACTGAAACCCATTTGGCATGTGGACATGAGAACAACCAAAAATATAGAATCCGCCCACTGTGTAACTACTGTACCGAACTCGGAAAGTAGACCAAGTCCTCGGCCATCAAATGAGAAGACACCCCAATGAACAGCACCCAACAGTGTGCCAAGACTAGCCAGCCAAAGGTGAATAAGATAGAGGCAAACATGAAGTGAAAATTGACTGACTAGTTTAACCTGGGTAAGAAATATAGGTTCATTGAAACAATCGTATCATCTCGTAACAGTCAAACAAAAATATTTGTAGTAAAGCCACTGCAAGATGATACAAAAACAGTCAGTTAATCAAACAGAACTCGTAAATTGACCCCACAGAACTGCAATATATGTCTAACTCTGTCATTGCAGACAACGATACCTTTGTTGTGGATCAGATGATGTGACCCAATACCAGATAATATGGAAAGTATTCGCTTGAAAAACTGTAATCCTAACTCATGGGACACTCCTATAAGAGTAATTTCAGGGTGGATAGGAAGTTAAAAATAGGTCATTTAAATTCTGAAGGAAAAACTTTTATCGTAGTCATCCTGAAGTACAATTTTTTTCTATCGTTCCCATGAAGTGTATTCATAAAACTCCAAACAATATCACCTGTCATGAGAAATAAATACTTGTACAAATGCAGAGGACTTTAGCACTCATCCACTTGGATCCTTACTATTAAGGGTTAATCAGTGAATCAAGAAAGGAACAACACTTACAAAAATAAACGCGATTGCTCATCTTTTAAACCAACTAATAAACTCTCATTATTAGCAAACTATAGTCATCAAGAACACTGTCACATTTCTTGTATGCACAGAAAAAAAGAACCAGAATGTGCTCCTGTGTATGGTTTTCTACCAACCGTTCTCAGTCAGTGTAATTAGTACAGTAAATAACAGGAAGGTTGCCATCCAGCTTCGTTGGAAAGCATAGTAACTTAATCAGTCAACATCAACATAGGACCAGTGAGTAGTCCAAGTTGATACACCTCATATCAGCTAAACAAGTAATACATCAGTACAATCAAATATGAAGGAAGAGGGAAAAATCGGTAAGAAGCAGTAAAAGAGAGGAAGGAGGAGATGATGAGATGAAGTATAGCATTTAAGATGAGGATAATGTATGGATACATCTGCACCACTGACATCGATTCTCAGCTATATTTCACCTAGAGTTTCCAGCCACTGGTTCCTGTTGCCACATAGACGCTAACCGGCTAGCATGCATCGCCCTACATAGCTCAAACCAACAGTCAAAGACATTAAGAGATACTATGTTTTAGTCTGGCCACTCAGAACTTTTTTCCATCTTAAACCTACTTCAGCTAACATGGTGCGACGAGGCAGATGGTGACCATGTATGCGTTACACATGTCCTAGCCACCTCAATCAATGAAGATACATGACCTTACCAGCTGACTTTTCATTCCTCCCTAAAACTCTATACCTCACTTCTATGTTACTCACATGGTGACACCACGACACGACAAAACCAACCGTGAACAAATACCCGAAGCTTTCTCATATCACAAGACAGAGTTTGAAGCGAATACGTATTTTCGGTAAATTCTCGTCAGGCTTTACATTTACAAATTATTCAGCTTAGTCAGTTGAAATCAACATAGTTAAATTAATTCGGTATATGAGTTAGAAGATAACAGTAAAGGTGATAATAACAAAACAAAATCCCGGAAAGTTTATGTATTCTCAGTGGTCAATCCATGTAGGTGTGAGTGAATTGTGTATGTGCAAGCATAGAGGGAAATAAAATTATTGACCAATTATGAAACTAAGGTCTAAATAATAATGATAAGAGTACAAACAGGGATAATATTTATATTCACATTTATTCGGGTGACCGGGAAGGAATTCATTGTAATTGTATCTGAGTTGAAGTTGAAGGCCATAGGAGGGAAAGGGAACGAACAAACATCTTCTGAAAATTTTAACGGCTATGCTTAGCAATCGTAGGCGCACAAACTTGGAGTGTTGTGATGGGACTTTGTAAATTATAAATGCCGCGGTTTCATCAATCTTATACTCAGTATCTACTAGATGGGCGAGTATTGAGGTTTTGATAGATTTCACTATTCCTTTGCCTAACCATGCTGGACAGTGCTCAATGAAGCGATGATGGGCTTACCGAGTCGTTCTGCCTATGTAACTATCTCCACAGGAGTAGTTAAATTTATAAATGTTAATAGATGTAGCCAGATTCGGAAGCCTATCCTTCAACTGTATTAGCATCAAACATAGTGTTGCACCAAAGGTTTTTTGTATCAGATTTCTGAGTTTCAGTGTCAGTGTTTCTGCAATTGCACCTCCTTTGAACCCTAAGGTTAGATATAATCTTCGGCACCATTTGAAGGCACTTTTCTCCAGCTCTTTTCATTGTTACAGTCTTTACGAACTTTTCAAGATAGCCGTTCCCATATAAGGAGTTCTCTATTATTCCTAGTTCATCGTTCAAAGTATCAGCCATGAAAATTTTACTGGCTCGAAATCTCAATGAAAAATAACTTTAGATTTCATAGATTTTTCCGATTACCACATAAATCAGATTTCGCCGATTTTCAAGAGTATTATTGAAGCAAGAGCTATTGCCAAGCACTTTTTCCCCATGATATCTTAGAGGATATATATTCCAACTACATTTAATCAAACAGATTCAACAACAACAAAATTTCAAAAAAGTATCTCATCAGCAATGAAGGAGTCACTACTTTTAAGGTGGTCACAGATAGAAGTCAGCATAAAATGGTAAGTTTTTAAAATGAACATTAGAACTTCTTAAAGTGAAAAGTGTTGCAGAAGTTAGATTCTCAAGAAAGATAAATCTCTCCTTTCCTCACCTAACCCTAACATGCATCGTTTCTTTTATTTGTACTTAATGAAATTCATTTCTTATTGATTATTTATTCACATTTAATACGCTAATTCACCTGTCTACCTTAAAGATTACAGATTAGTACAAAAGGTGTAATATACACTAAAGAGTTGCAACTAGTATGGTCATACTGTCTTCAGTTGAAACATTGGATATTACATCAACTAGGTTATCGGATTCTTCACTCTTTTTTTATATATTCAATTTATTTCCAAAAAGTAGACAAACCTCACTTAGTAACCCAAACATGATATTATGATTTAGGCTAAAGTATTATGTAAATGAAGGGTACAAAAATCAATCAACGTATTAACAAACCGATCATTTATCCTCCATTGCTAAGAGGGCAAAAAAGAATACGCAGATCCCTAAGTGTCACTATTTCATAACGAAAAGTAATCATCATTTCCATACCCGGAATCAATCAATTTAACAGTTAAATTGACTTTATTCCTTCCTTCCTCCTCCTCCTTAACACACTCAAATAAAAAGGTAAGAAATCAAGATTTGTAACTATGTAGCCAGTTTTTCCTCCTTCTGAAATTTAACACCTACAATGAATGATTGGATAAGGGGGAGGGGGGACAAGATACTTCCAAAAAATATTACTAGTAACTTTGATTGCATGATCAATGAACTGGATTTTATGGGAGTTGACAATTTCCTGAAAAGTAGATGATAGAGTAGTATACGGCTATCATCTGATTCTTCAAGAAGAAAGAGATTCAACAGTAGTTACCAGCTAGTTACTTACTGAACTATTCTCAATCACTGCAGAACTGTTAGGACAACTATACAGCCAAAAAACATGACTTCAAAGCAAAGCAAAAGACAACAAGTTATGAGTTAAACAATACAGCTAACAAACTTCAATATGATGGTACAACACTATGAATTTTCGAAGGCTTCAGAAACCATCGACGTACAATGATACATTAATAAAAGTCTCACTTAGAAATTATTGACAAGGATAATGAAGTATCTTTATTCCCCTTAGAGTTTGTCTACATTTCAAAAGCATCAAGTTAACCATGTCTAAAAAATAGAAGTTGCGTACAACACCACGACTAGACATTATAACTCGACCGAGGTAAGCCATATGTAAGTTACAGAAATATTTACCTATGGATTATTGAAACTACTGTGAATCCGGTTTAGGCCTGATCAACGAATATAAACTAAATGGCCTGTTAAGTTGATGGTACTACTGTCTGTAAGTATATGTGCTTTGCATCATTAAAGTGTAAAGTGCTCTTGCGAGATTGGCAAGAGCCTGAGCTCATCCTTGGTGGTGAGCCGTAGGAAGTAGTCGAAAAGTTTGTGTATTCGGGTAGTTGTGTGGCTCCTGGCGTGAGTGGTGAGATTCTCAACTGCATATGGAAAGCCAGAGCGGCATACGTCAATCTCGGCCACCTTAGACGCCATCGTGACGTTAGTTTGACGGTAAAAGGTAAGGTTTACAACGCTTCGATGAGAGCAATTCTGCTCTACACCCATGAAACCCGGCCTCCCCGAGCTGAGGATAAGCGATGACTCTGTGCGTTCGATCGTCGTTGTCTCTGTAGGATTGCTCGGATCCGGTGGCAACACCTAGTAAGTAATTCTGAGGTACAACAGCATGTGTTTGGGCATGATGGAGGTCATTCAATTAGTAATTCACCTGGAAACACTAGCTTCTGTGGCTTGGCCATGGGTTACGCATATCGTCCCAACGGCTTCCACGTCGTTCATTGTTTGCTAACCCTGGGACTAAATGGAAGAAGCGGAGGGGTGGTCAGTGTTTGGTGTGGGGCCGTGGGATGAAGGACAGTTATATCGAGTTAGCACGACTCTCTGAGTAGGGTCCGAGAGACCACGCAACTCAGTGGCTTGAAACGTTATCAGATATGGCTCAGAACCGAAACCAGTGGCATTCATGCTGTAGCTTCCTTCTATCTTCTGTTGCTGAAAAGTGATGAATGCTTTGTTTTTAATGCATCTTACTGGATTGCCCTTCTAATTATTCTATTCTTACTCACTTCTCTTCCCTTTATGTCTTCATAGTGTTGTTATATTATTTTGTGTGACACATTTCTTGGTGCCCTTGCTGTACCATGTTTGTGTTCCGATAATAATAATGACAGCAATAACAATGATAGTAGTAATAATAATAATAGAGCATGTTATCAAGGAGATAAACTACCAACTCCTTCACACAATGTATTTACATTTCTTCAAATAGTCGGTTGAACTTACATGTGCAATGACACTTAAAATAATGTACAATGCCAGAAATATGAAAAACATCTCTGCGACACCCTGAGTTTCGAAGGAGAATTGATGCTCAAATTGATTGAAAGACTGCAATTTTGGCTCACCATTCACCAAGAAAATATCATATATGATGGTCAATGAGGAATACGATGATGATGATGATGATGAAATGCGTTTGAATAACGAGAAACAGCAGTAGTCTCCCATTTACATGTTGTCAGATTACGCTTACATGCGACCAAACTAAGATACCAATAGCTTTAAATGAAAATAAAATAAAACCATTGGTTCAAATTACAATCATCAGGTATACAGTTTTGAAATGATAAATACTAAACTAACATTAAATTATGCACAATTAGAATGAACCTTAACCATCTCTACCTACAAGTTGAATTCGGTTATCACCTTCCACTTTACAGCTTCAGTAATATCACTAACAGTAGTACCCACGTCAATTCCACTAAATGAAAAGCTCATAACAAACGTGAGGCGCGTCTTTTAACGATAATGCTATTCCAGAAATAAGTATTTACTGTTTTATGTGAAAATGAAGTGACAGAACTAATCAGCCTACCTTCTTTCAATTTTCTTCAACTAGAAGCTCATTACTTTTGGATACTGTTGACCAGTGCATTATGTTGAATTATACATATTTATGTACTATTCTTAGGATACATATATATTCTACTAATATGAGTGGTTAGAACATTCAGAACAGAACACATCTTTCTAATATTGATTAAAAAATCGCCTAAAAACGTCAATCCTTCCAACTAAGAACGAAATCACATGACAATAAAAAAGGTACCACCTAGTTCAAAACTTAGTTAGGTGGCTAGCAGTGGAATCCAGGATGCGTGTTTCGTCCCATTCGGGACTCGTTAGATACCTGCACCTCACTAGGTGATGTGATTCCCATTTAAAAGTTAGCCCAGTACCCACTGCTTCAGATGCCAAAGCGTTTTCTACTAGGCTATCTCCTTGCCAAGTGCTGCACATGCAACGGACAACTAAAAATGAAGTTGCAATCGGTCGAAAGTTTGAAGAAGTTGTAGGGTTAGCATAATTTAGTATAAACGTTTTTCTTGTCAAGGTTAAGTGCTTTGAAACCCCTTCAAGAGCTAACAATCGATTCAGCAGAGCTAATATAATAGACATACGTCTTTGTTTGAATACTTTCACTGTAATGCCATCTGAACTCTCTGCTGCATTCCCAATTTCTTTCAGTGCTGGGTAAACTTCATTGGAATTTGTTGGAGATACCAGGCTCCAGTTCATATTCAAAGGTGCTTATCCAGTACACCTGACTTCCTCGCTGCATACCCTCCGGAATTTTGTAGGACAAGTATAACTATGAGAGCTGAAGTGACTGGCGTGCTTGCTCATCAAGGTGAATCATGATCAACTTCAGTCACCCGTGAACAGGCATAAAAACGGGCGGTACAAACAACGCCAATAGAACAGTAGAGAACGGCCTGGAGGAAGCTTTTGCAGGGTGTGGCTTGCGCTTTAATGGAGTGCCAAAAGAAACGTTTCCATACAAGTGAATGATTCACCAACCTAATCCATTGTATGTCTTTCTTCCGGCCATAAGCTGTTGTACGTTATATCCTACCCCGACCAGTAGTGCTCAGATGCACGGACTAGCGGTGAAAACTTTGGTTAGTCAAGTGCTGGATGATGGTCTACGGATCGAATTTCTACATACGGCTGTCCCGATGAGGCGAGTAAATCATCTGGAAAAACTCAATATATTTATATGCCCCATAGGTAAAGCAGCATTGACTACCCCCTGCTGTATATACAACTATTAAGAGCTTTGCTGAAGGTACGAAGACTAGTCATAAAATAGCACATACAAAGGAACAGGCAAGGAAAGCATGGAGAAGTGTAGTACTGAACAAGAGATGGGAGAAATATGAGAGACACCTACAGAATCAAGGCCTCTTATAGGCGAGTATACACGCTGCGAAGTTTGGCAAGAAAAAACAAACTTGAGAATGGACCGTTGAAAGATGTCATCGACAACCTGGATATGTATAAACGTTATATTGACAACACTTTCATTGTTCTTGATCAAAACATAGACAAAAACGAATTGTTAGGAAAATTCAACGACGTATATCCCTCTCTCACTTTCACTAGTGAAGAACAGGAAAACATGCTATATTTTTTACATTTTCTACTGATTAGAAGAGATAACGGGTCACTTATTAGAAAGGTGTACAGAAAGATCACATCTATGAGTCAGCACAAACATTTTCTTAGCTTTGTGCCCATTCAGTATAAAAGAAGCTTAGTTAGATGTCCTGCAAGCAGAGCTAGAAGGATCTACTCCAATGATTTGATATAAAAGGAGTTAGAACACATTCATAATATTCTGGCAGAAATAGGTTACCCCTATAGTTTTATCAAGGGACACATGGACAAAATGAATCAGCAATCTGAACAAATGACTGTGAAAAGAAATTTTCATTCATGAAGCTCCAATTTAAACGGGATGCGCCTGGTGAAGTCCTATTCTAGAGGCTATCTACAGCTATCAGAACTTTCTGTGATGCTAACCTTTGCTGATCATTTTCTAGTCGGTCCATAATTGTTGACCAGACAAAAGATAAGCTGAGCAGTTCTGTCATTTCTATGTACATTTATCAATTCAGCTGCTCCTGTGGAGAAAGTTACAGTGAGTGTACAACTAGGCAGCTTAACAAACGTATTGCTGAGCACCTACCATCATGGCTAGGAAAAGGACAAGTGAAGTCAATACGAAGTTCAATTCTCTCGCATTTAGCCGTTAGTGGTAATGTAATAGATAAGACCAAAGCGTTCAAAATCATCTATCCCATTCCAAAAAGCCTTTCGAATGGAATTCGCACTCGCATATTATATATGGCCGAGGCTATGGGAAGTAGAGAAACCAACCCTAGTCACTGTGTACAGCGTTTGTCTCCACCTTGACCAGAGAAAACTTAGTGATTGACTTCAAAGATAAATTCGATTTCAATCCCCTTCCCTTTCTTTACCCGTTTCGCATGCATGTTTATTTACTCAGACTGTAATTATCTAAACATTTCATCCTTTAGTGGTACGTAACTTTTACTTTTCCAAATTTCGACCTACATTGATTGTTTAAATGTCTCCAGTATCATGCTGTCCCCATTATTATTATTATTGCTATCACCATCATCATTTGACTATCTGAGATAGTTGTGATTTGGCAAACTAATAATGATACTGGGTGATGATTGGAGATGAAATGACAGTTTGGACCGCGGCCGGATTCGAACCAGTGACCATCGGCTTTCCGGCCCGATGCTCTGCCAACTGAGCTACGAGGTCTATGGTCGGTAGCTCAGTTGGCAGAGCATCGGGCCGGAAAGCCGATGGTCACTGGTTCGAATCCGGCCGCGGTCCAAACTGTCATTTCACCTTCAATCATCACCCAGTATAAACTATTATTATTATGATCGAGATATCTACTATTTGCGCGCTTCATTTCCTTGTTGGCACAGCCTAAAGAATCCACCGTGATTGATTTAATATTTCATGTGAGAAAATTTATGTATATTAGTGTAAAGCCTGATGAGAGCTAATTGAAAACCGTATTGTTCGCCTATACTAACGAATATCTCATCACATATGATGTTAGCTGAGTGTATAAGTTTGTTTACGTATTTGCGAACTATTTCGTAAAAAAAAGATGCTCCATTGAGTCATAAATGATCTACCAGTAGGTTTCAATAAAACATCCCGATCTCCACAACGATTACAAAAGTGAAATCGTCAGGTAGATAGTCATTCAAGTGTTTAATACACCATCAAGGCCACTCACTCAAACTGATTGTCTAGGAAGTGCTTGAATAAGGGAAATAAACTGCGATTGCCCGTGTCAAAGGTAGTTGACAATGAACGGTATGTTGGTGGGGTGAAGCTCCGTGAAGACAAATGCGACTAAGATAACTATGAAATTGACAATGAATTTAGCCTTTCTGGAGTCAAAGAACATCATTTATTCGTTGTGGGTTGTTTTCGTTTAGTTTGTACAACTAGTAAACCACAATATATACTCTATGGTTCCATTTGGAGCAATATTTTCCACCAACATATGATAAACGCAGTATACTATGACATCAACCCGACCAAAAATAATATGTCTACAGGATATTTAACTTTAAGAAACTCCCAAACGCATGTGATTTACGTATGACCATTTCACTATGAAAAAAATTTCCCAGTTATCTATAGTTACTTCCTCTAAAATATCTACTACCACTGAAAAAGAGCTGTCTACAATTGTTCATAGATTATCTGAAATTCGATTGACAGCAGCTAAATACAACGACAATGTCACTAACCGCGGTTGTCGAAGATCCTGGATACCAAAGGTAAACTGCGAATTCGGTACCACACTTTCTGGATCATCCTCTTCCATACATAAGCCAGATGCAGGACACGGTACCGATCTAAGCAAATCCATTTTTCCTGTCGGTGAGCATATTTTGTGCCATGCAAGAGAATTGATTTCTGCAAACATTTTATTGCAGCGTTCAGTTTCCAAAAGCCATTGACTTTCTTCATAGGTTAAATCAGTTATATTTTGAGTCCACATTGGTTCTGTAGCATTTCCATAAAGATCTGTAATGAATTCACCATCGACTAGGACAAGTGTAGCAATATCTGTTAAATTATGTTCTAAGGGCCAAAATAAAGTGGTAAATTTAACACTAGATAAGGCTTTACAGGTCGAATAGGAGATACTAAAGTGTTATAAACAAACATTTTGACTGATTAAATGGTAATAGAATGTTGATCGACCGGTAGATCAACATCGACACCATAACTGCTCAAGAGGCCAAAATTATTTGCGGATTACACTGTATCCGAAAAGCTAAATTGAATAATGATCGAAAAGATTGATAAACTGATCCCTAAACTATAAATTGGATGTTTCATTAAACAAGACTGTTAATCAAATGCAAAACAAGCAATAATCAGAATGAAATGACCAGGCGTAATTGATCGAAGGTAACAAAGGTCAGCCAGTAAATGACCACTTTCTAATGAGTTAAAAAATTGGATGTTTGATCGTTAGATAAAAATGTGACCAACAAAATTAAAGTCCAAATTATTTCTTTGGATTCCCAGTTGTTTTTTTTATTAGCTAATCTGCAATAGATTATGTCCAGAAAATTTTCTACGGTAAAACACAGCCACAGTAATTACGGTAACTAATTACCCCAGACATGTATGAACATCTTAAGCCACCTGGTTCAAAGCTATCTCATTTATATGGTCTGCCGAAGGTGTAAAAAGATGGTCTTCCTCTTCGCCTAATATTGGATATTCTTAATTCACCTTATCACTCATTGGTGAAGTGGCCTGCTGAAATGCTTGAACCTGTGAGATAAAATCTATGCAAATACATTCTTCTCGATACATTTCGTTTTGTTCGCTGTATCGAAGAAGTCAACGTAACGGGTAAGCGTATGATATCGCTTGATGTTTGTTCTTCATTTATCAATGTTCCACTTGCTGAAACTGCTTGTTATCTATGCGATTACATTGATTCCAGTAACATAAACATTGGATTACCTACGAGCCACCTAAAAGAACTGGTATTAGGATGTACGTTTAACGTATAGTTCGGATTTAATGATGTAATTTATAATCAGACGGACGGAGTCACAATGGTGTCTTCCGCTGGGCCCCGTCCTGCCTGATATCTTTACAGCAAAGTTCGAAAATGGGTCACTTAAAGGAATAATCTCAGGGCTTTATTTGTATAAAGGTACACTGACGATACTTTTCTTATTTGTGACGAAACATGTTTAGTGGACGAGCTGCTAAGACATTCCAATGATTGTCACTCGTCCATTAAATTCACTACAGAAGAAGACTTAAATTCAACCTTCTACTTGTTAGGCATAATGTTAAACAGAAAGGATGATGGTTTGATCCAAAGGTCAGTCTATCGAAAATCAACCTTGACCGTCCAGTTCACTAGTTTTAATAGTTGGATACCTCTCTTAGTTGTAAAAGAAGTCTCATTCACTCTGTGTTCCAGAATCCATAAAACCTGCTCAGAAGACACGGGGGATGTTGAAATCGAAACTCTTAGAACACTACTATCCAATGACGGATATCCTAAGAGACGTATCAATAAAAATCTGAAGAAACGAATCATCCCTCATCTTATTACAGTTCCTAAGAAAATCTTCATTATGAATCTGGAACTAAAAGGGAACACCACAGCCGAAGTGCTGAAAAGCCGTCTGTCCAAGTGTATCAACAGTATGTTTTATGCTGGTAGACCGAGATTGATTTTCTACAGCTGCCGTCTAGTTCGACAATACGTGAAGGATAGGCTGCCACTTATGTCTACATTTTTTATGTGTATCTACAAATCCATATGCTCCTGTAGAGCTGACCATATTGGACACTGTAACCGGGCCCTCCAAAAACGTGTTGCTAAACAATACCAGGTTTGGCTTACCAAAGAGGAGCGAAGACAAACGACTTCATCCATAAGTGAACACTTGGTAGTTAGGTCATTCAGCAACTAGATATTCATCCCTTAAGGTGATTTAAAAACCTCGCCTAGTTCACTCGTTACTACCCGGTCCCAAGACCAGATAAAGAGGGAAGGTTGAGCATACGGCTAGCAACCCTACCCCATAAAACCAATCCAATCGCAGAAAAAAATTCAAAGCACGAAGAAAATATAAAATCAAACTTATTCCTCTCTGGAATCGAAGGAGCGAAATGACGCCAGTTGGTAAAAGCCTTCAGGAAGCCAATCGGCCGATGTGTCTTCACTCCTCTCGATGAAAGGGAAAGTAAGAATGGGGACATGGAATGTCCGAACAAAGTTTGGAGCTAGCTGGCAAGGCTGCCCAGATTGCCAAAGAGGTGAAAAGATATGGCATAGAAGTGATAGGAATCTGCGAAAGCAGATGGAATGGAAGTGCACTCTCTCAACTGTCAACTGGAGAGTCAATAATCTACTCCGATATTTTCACCCTGACGACAACCACAAGCACAGTACACTGAGTTTTCGAGTGGCTGTCATGATGTCCCCAAGAGCATCAAAGGCTGCTATGCAGTAGGAACCAGTCTCCTCCAGCATCAGGATCATGGCAGCTAGATTCAAATTAAAATGAAGGAAAGTCACAATCATACAGTGCTACGCCACCCGCCTACAAATAATGTAGATGAAGAGAAGAAGGAAGAATTCTACAGGCTACTCCAATCAGTAATGGACAAGACCCCACCCTTGATGGAGACATCAAAATTCTAACGGTGGAGTGACAAGAATGCCAAACTGGGAGCAGAACATACAGGAAGAGGACCAATCATGGGTCGAGAAGCACTCGATGAAATGATGAGGGAGAATATAGAACTGTTTGCAGACTTCTGCACATTCAACGATTTGGTGATTAGAGGCAGTGTGTACAAACACAAAGCGACATGGACACACTAAAAATGAGATCGACTTCATCTCAATCTCGAGGAAGTGGAGATGGAGACGCAGCCCACTCGACACAAGATCAAGAAGGGGAGCAGATGTAGGTTCACACTACTCACACCACTATCTAGTCCAAGGAACCTACCTACCTTCCAAATCAAGTTGAAAGCCTTGAATTCAAAGAAGCTGGTGATAGACCACAGTTCAAGTTCAACACCCAGAACAGAAAGTGAACTCAAGGATGAAACTACAAACGACATCACATCAGACATCAGCAAAAAACGGGAGACATTAGGCAACATCCCCGAGGAAACCTGAGTCAAAGAACACTGGAAGAACACTCTTTGAAAGAGACGTGGAAGGAAACCTGCATAACAGTGTTAGGAAAGGAGGAGAAGCAAGACAAGGAATGGAATGTATTTCCACAGATACATGGAAGCTGATAGAGGAGGGAGAGGAAGATGGTGATGGTGAAGAAGAAGATGAACCTGTGCAGTGCGGTGCAGTGCAGGGATGAACAAAGAAAAGAGTAACTGGACACAACCTATAAAACACCACACTGGACAAAGAAGTGAAGAGTCCACAGAAAGACAAAAGACACTTCTACGACACACTTGCAAGTGAAGCAGAACAGGCTGCAGGTAGGAGAGATAGATATCTGACAACACTATATCAAATAACCAGATTACTATCTATCTGGAAGGGAAGAGATAAACGCAGACGAGACCAATGAAAGATAGTGAAGGAAACTTAGTTGCCAAGAAGGAGAAACAAAGGATACGATGGACTGATCACTTTAAAAAACTCTTGAATCGACCACCAACACCACCTAAAACCCGTCTAGAAATACCACCAGTAACTGCAAATTACCAGAGAACACAAGCCCTATGACAAAAGCAGAAGTCGTAAATGTAATAAAGCTGCTGAAATCCGAGAAAGTAGCAGGATCAGATGGAGTCCCTCCAGAAGCACTGAAAACAGATGCAGAGACAACAATGGACATGCTCACATCACTACTGCAGAAGGTTTTCAAGGAAGGAAGAAATGAAGGAAAAGTATCTGCCAATTGATTGGAAGGGCTACCTTGTCAAACTCCCAAAGAAGGGCGACCTAAGTCTTTGCAAGAACTGGTGCGGAACCATGCTACACCGCTGTCCACCTGAAGCAAAATATTATGCTGCATCATACTGGAGAGACTGAAAATTGCACTGGATTCAAAATTATGACCGGAACAAATCATGTGCAGATCGAACTGCAACGCTACGCTACGTATCATTATACAACAGAGCATGGAATGGCACTCAACTCTCTACATCACCTCACCTCAACTTCATCGATTTTGAAAAGACCTTCGACAGCGTCGACCAACCAATAATTTGGCAACTGCTTCAACACCAGGGTTTTAGTGCCATAAACCTTTATCAACCTCATTCAACAGCTATATGACGACACCACATGCGAAATGATTCCAGTGGAAAGCTCAGTGACGCCTTTGAAATGAAGACGGGACAGGAGTAAGAAAAGGTTGTCGCCTACTATCAGCGATCATCATTCTGATTGTGGTCGACTCCACTCCACTTGACTGGACTGGATCATGCAATAGACAACTGTGAGGAGTGAGAAGATGGGCATACGTTGGCTGGACCGATGTAAAGATTTGAGAAGATTTGCATCTTGCCGCCGATGATGCTTTATGTCTGTCTTGTCATACAAACTCGAAGATCAACAGGCAAAAACCACCAAGTTGATAGAAGAGGGAGCGAAAACGGGACTTCAAGCGAATGTAGAGAAGACAGAAGTGATAAAGATACCCAACCAACAACAACAAGCACCAATCACCATCGACGGGAGAAATCGACAGGAAGCAGTCTCTTTCACCTACCTACCTAGGTAAGTAAGGGTGCATCGTTTCAACTACAGGCGGCGGCACACATGAGGACGTCAAAACCAGGATCGGAAAGACAGCAAGACAGCCCTTCAATAACCTGAAAGCAGTGTGGAGATCTACTGCATTGCACTCAGCATAAAGCGTGAACAAGATCCGGATTTTCAACACTAATGTCAAGTCAGTGCTTCTATATGGTGGTTGAAAGACTTGTCGACGCGTCACAGAAACCATTTCCAACAAACTACAGACATGCCTCCTCAACAGCTGCCACCTACGCTCACTCGATACTGACACTGAAGATCAGATGGATTGCCAGAAAGAATAAGCAACAAGGAACAAACTCTAGCTGGCAACGAACCAACCAACAACCTATCGCCCAACGAATATGCAGAAGAAAGTGGAGATGGATTGGATTGGGCATACACTGAGAAGGCCAACTGGGGACATCACGCGCCAAGTCAGGTCCTCGACTGGAATCCGAATGAGAAACGACGAGTTGGGCGTCCGATACAAGGGTGACATGGAGGAGATCATGTGAGGGAGAAACGAAGGCTTCTGGGCAGTCGTAGAGCCAGGTTCAAAAGACTGCAGAGAACAGAAAGCAGTGGAGACGTGCTTATGAAGCTCTATGTTCCACCCAAGGGACAAATGATAATTGTAATAATAATAATAATAATAAGGTAACTTAAAAAGTTAAATTGAAGTACTGCAAAGGTCTACGCTCCCTTCACTTAAGCATAGCTGAGGCATTAGCTATATATGAACAAAAATCGAAACTGAATTCAAAAATGTTTTGTGAAACCACTTTCTCTACCCTGCCTTTAATAATTCATTTTGGTTATTTTGTCAATTTCAATGCACTTCACTTTGGTATACTTCTCTTTCATTATCATCATTATCACCATTTTTCACTTCGTTGATAGCATTTGACCCACATTTCATTATTGAATATCAATTCGTTCCCTATTCAGTGACCTGTTTTGCACGCTTCAGTAAAATTATCATCGTTTTGCAATCATTTGACAGCATTTGTCCCTTATCTCATCACTTTTTATCATTCCGTTCCTTATTCAGTGACCCTTTTTCCATTCCTTTCAACTGAACAAATCCCACTATTAACACCTACTTTATTTTTCGCATATTGACTGAGCAACTTTTTAGTGCAATTATGTCATTCTGACCACTGTACAGCTTGATAATGAAGTTGTTGAAAGAAATATTTCTTCGCTGATACATGTGTTGTTCCTATTCATAGATTTAAAAAACTGAATTATCTTCGAAGGCTGATTAAACTATTCTTCAAGACGTCCTACTCTGGACATTTATTGTTGATCCTTCATCTTGGCAGGAAATCTAATCCCACTCTTGAGTTCAAACTATGTTCTACCTATAGAGCTTTTGGCATTCAGTGGTACCATTAGCCTTTGTAAAATAGGCGTGGATCATTGCCTAATGCAAAAATGTGTACAGGGTTGTCGAGTTGCATTTCTTCTTCTAGCTCACGATGCATCATCATCAACATCAACATAGAACCAGGCATTACTGCGTAACGGTTCGAGTTGCCACAGCTCATATCAGCACATCACATCAAGTAAAGAGACAGTGAGGCGCAAGATGAAGATAAGAAACTTCAGCCAAAATAAATATAGAGCACGAAAAGAGAGAAAGGAAGAATGAGAAAATGGTGAGATTCGGTATAGCGTCGTTAAGATGAGGATGATGTGTGTATACATCTGCACCACTGACATGGGTTTTGAGCCATATCACCTAGAGTCTCCAACCACTAGTTCCTCTTGTCCCGTGGACCTCAACCGACTAGTTTGCATGGCCCCACATGGCTCAAACCAACAGCCAAAGACTTCATACATTGGTGCCATGTTTTAGCCTGGTCACCTCGGGCTTTTTTCCAGCCTGGACCTACTTCGGTGACCAGGCATACGTAATACGTGTCCCAGCCATCTCAGTCGATGTAGGTTCATAACCTCATCAACAGATTTACCTCTACTCCCTAAAACTCTATACCTGACGTCTGAGTTACCCACGTGGTGACACCACGGAATACGGCTTATACTACAAAGGCAACGGTAACGATGCACAACAAAGATTATAACTTCGAGATTACAAATATTCAACACTGTCAAGGATAGTGAGGTGTAGTGGTAACATTTGAGCCTAAATACATTGCCAAACAAGCGCATTATGCTAGTAAAAGCTCTGAACTACAACTTGTAACCATGTTAAAGCTTATGGAGAGCTGAGGTGGCGAAGAATACTGGTATGGATGTACCCAGTCCCTATCACCCTGGGGGTTTTGTAAGATTGTATTGACCTTCATTTATCTTCATTTCATGTATATCCTGTATCTTTTATTTTACTCTCATTTTATTTACATACACATCCTTTCTGTTTACTGTTGTGAAGCATGACAACTTGGAATGATGCAGTCTCGGCTAAGATTCTATACGTATATGTCAGTCTATTAAGTATAACCATGTTCGCACTTTGGTTTTATTTCAAAACTTTTATTCAAAATACAAATAGTCCGTAAAAACTCACTTATTCCGTATTGCACATGTGAACATGGTCTATAAAAGGCGTGTGCTTTTCCCTGAATACTTATTTTCATTCTCAGAAGATAAAAAACAATAATTAACTTTGATATGTAAATATGAACTCAATAACTTTATTGGCTTACCATTATTGATTGAGTTTTTCAGCTTTACTGTTCCATAAATATACCCTCTTGTAGCTTCAGGTTCATCAACTTGAGTTCGTTGGAAGCCAAACTTCGTCAAAAATAAATATCTATTTGACGGATTCCATTCCCCTTGAAGATGCAAAGCATTTACCGCATTTGTGATTGACAAAACGACCAGAATATATATCTACATAATAAGGACGAAGTATGTTACCCCTGCTAATGAAGTCAGTAGTTTTTACTGACAAACTATCACCAATACAACGAAAAGTTCCAATCTCATAGGTGGAGAAAACTATAGACAATTTAAATCAGAACTTAGTGGGGAACAGGAATGAATAAAGTGGTGACCAGCTAGCAAACACCTAGCGCCACTCCAAGTTCACAGAGCATTCAAGGTGAATACCAAAGTAATAAAGTACGTTCCCAGATATTCTATCATTACACTATACAACACTTCAATTTATGAACATAACCTTTTTTTCGAAAAAATCAATGAACTTAGAACACATTGATAAATCATTGCTAATACAATCCCTCGAGTTTGTTGGCTTTAAGACTAGCTAGAAGAGGCACAAAAGTGACTTACCACTAGAATGCTCTGGCACTGTTGGTGGTGGAATGAGCCTCTTTTTTCTCCTTAAATGATCTCATATGACTAAGAGTGCATAGCCACTGGCAGAAAAGTTCTACTCCCAGTCTTCCCTTCTTAATGTATCCATAAAATATACAGCGAAATTAAATATCAGGCGCTAATCACCGGGTTGATGGATAAGAGTTCACTTAGGAGCTGATAAGCCTTGAATTCGAACAAAGAGTGAACACAAGCTTCGAGGTTCGGAACGGATGAATGGCGAACGAACCTGCTTTAGACCCCGACAAATATAAAAAACAATTTTTTTTTTGAGATGAACGGGGATTTTTAATTTAGACGTAGTATTCATCATGGACTGACATCAGTTAGGGAACCATTGAAAATCCAGTGCTCCCAGATTTTCAATGGTTCCCTAACTGATGTCAGTCCATGATAAATACTACGTCTAAATTTAAAAAAACATGTTTAAAGTCGCTCCTTCGTCTCATGTATCTTATCAATAGTTAAGTCCTCGAAGTTCTTCTTTAAGACAGGCACCTGCTTCGGTTTGTGCGTCCTGGTAACAGCATTTTAGGCCTTATGAAAATCATGAAATATCACTTCGAAGCAGTCATCAGTTAAAGCATAGTAACTGGTAAAGTAAATTGAGTGTTTCTTATTCGGTGATAAATCATAAAGAAAGTAAATGAATATTGGTGAGACAAGAGGCGAAGAGGTGTAGAAATTATTACTCAAAGTTACTTCATATTGATGGCCACGATAACAAAAGTGCTTCGACAAATTTTTTAAACAGGAAGGTTAAGTTTGTAAAGGTAGATTGCAATCGCATCTGCTATGTGAAGCAAACGAATGGGTAGACCATGTGGTAAACTAATCAGTAATACGGTGGATGATTTTAAATGCTTTTCTAGTATCCACTTGATAATCAGTGTCAACTAAGTATGCAAGTATGGAACTCTTCATTGTTCTAATCTGTCCTTTGAGCAGCCATGGTGAGTGGTCCTCCGAAATTCGACGATGGACCTGCATCATTGTACACCCAATGTAACTAGCTCCACAGGAGCAGTTGAACTGATAAATCCATGTGGAGGTAGCAGAATCAGGTAGTCTATCTTTTTCTTGCACCTAGAATCGCGCAGTTGTGGAAGATAGAATATAATTTAGTAGCTGAGAATGCTCTTTCAAAATCTTTTTTAATGCCTTGTGTGACGACCTCACTAAAAATGTCACTTTTGAATTCCACGTTCAACAAGATTTGTTTTTAAAGAGCTGCTGGCATTCTTATCTTAAGCTTCGCAACATTCATAAGCTGAGTCACGAACTTTGCTAGACAGTCACTCCCAAAAGGCAGGTCTTCGATGATGGCGATCTCTTCCTCTAAAGCGTCATCAAAGCAAATAGCTGTGGCACGGTTAGCAAGACATTTTACCAGAATCATCTCGTATTGGTGAGGTACGCACCACAGAAGTGAGTGAGAATAACTGAGGGGTATTTCTCGTCACCCAAGTGAAAATTGTCGCTCCCACACCGGTCATCATTGGTGCATTGTCTAACAGTTGGGAGTGAAATGGTTGGAGGCGTTAACCACTCCACCTACCTGGGATATCGGGTCAGCCCTGATGGGTCAGTGACCACCAAAGTCTCTCCACAGATACAATAGCTTCGGTTGGCTTTCACAGACTTACGCCATTCATGACGCCGCCGTGATATTCGACTGTCTATTGAAGACCGAGGGTACTACGTTACAGTACGCTCTGTTCCACTGTGTATGTGAAACATGGCCATTGAAGGTAGAGGACGTGTGGAGTCTTCAAGTATTTGACCACCGTTCCCTTTCTTAGTATAGACTGTGGTGTCGGTGTCACCACGCCAGTGATGCAGAAGTCAGACGTAGAGTTTCATAAAGAAGAGGAAAGTCAATTGATAAGGCTGTAGACCTTCATCGAGTCAGGTCACTGAGACATGCTTTACTCTTGCCTAGTCACCATCTGCCCTCTCGCACAATGTCAGCTGAAGTAGGTTTAAGATGGAAAAGGGTTAAAGACGGGTAGAATAAAACATGGTATTAGTCCGTAAAGTCTTTGACTGTTGATCTGAGCCATATAGAGAAACGCAGACTTCCGACTGCGGTACACTTGACACCCAAAATCGGGGGTTGCAAACTCTAGGTGATAGGGTTAGGCGCCGACCTCAGTGATCTAGACACATCAGTGAATTTTCCTGGAATTAATCGTCACACCGAATTCCATCATTTTCTCATTACTTTTTGTACTCCCACCAATTTCGATAACTCTTCTTTATTTCAAGTTGTTACTGATCGTAGACTGACATCAGTTGGAGGAACAAAGGAAACCTGGGAGAACTGGACAGCTGTTTCGTCCTAGTATGGGACTCCTTAGCGGTGCGCACCCATGACCCCGCCGGGGATCGAACCCGCGACCTCAGGTTCCGCGGCCAGCGCGTCCCATACTAGGACGAAACAGCTGTCCAGTGCTCCCAGGTTCCTTTGTTCCTCCAACTAATGTCAGTTTACGATGAATAACAACTTGAAATATTTTTAAATCTTTATTTCACCACTTTTCATCTTGCTTGATGTCCTGGTATGAAGTGTGGCAACTTCGACTGTTGATCAGTAATAACAAGCCCGATGTTGACAATGACTGACTTGACTGATTCAGACCAATTGTGGTTTTCAAATTCGATAAATTATTGCCTACCAAGGTATTTATCACAAATGTGAGAACTTCAGTACGGTATTACTTTAAAATTGAAGACGTAGAGGGTTTTAGAAATAAACTGACAAGCATCAAAGTAACAGAGGACGAAATCATGGCGTATTGACGTGATTCTTCCTTTTACCAGTGTACCAATATTTCAATCTTGATGCAATAAGAAATGCGCTTCACAATTACCAAGATTAATTATCTGGATGTCCACCTCCAGTAAAAGGTATCATAAAATCCCTAAACATATGTCTAGTCTCCATATTTTACTTTCTGAGATAGAATGTGTCATCAGATAAATAATTGCAAAGGGGTTAACCAACTGTGATGAATATGCACACAAGAGTTCTAGAAGAGCGCATTGGTTTTTAATGGCAACCCAGAGATTCGGTATGTGATACTTTTGTTATTCTCAAAAAATTGGACCAACAAAACATTTAGGAGCACAAATTTTGCGTCAGATTTTATCAGTTTCATGAGTGAAACAGGAACCAACACGCTCTGATAGACATATAAATTTTAGTCAGTTCATCCAGCTAACATGAAACCCATAATGGCACTTATTAAATAGAGTAAAAAATATAATAACATTGATAATTTTGAAAGTGAAATTTCTGAAGTACAAGTTTTAGTGGAGAATGGACACCCAAAAAGGTTCTAAACAACATTGTTAATCAGACGAATGAAACAGTAAGTAGAAAAGATAAGACTGCAACTAAATCATCGGTATCCTCTACGACAACACAGAGAAAAGACAACTCTAAGTGAATTTAGTGTTTATCTCCTATGATATCAAAATATATTTCAAACCCCTAGATTATTTTGAAATCATCATAGTTTTAGTGAAAGACTCAACTCAAACGATGACATAACAACTAACTTTATAGGATCAATTGTTTGGAATGAGGCTGGTTGCATTGGAGGAGACTGTATATTGGGGTGGGTAAACAGGTTACGTATGAAACATTCACCGAAGAATAAAAATAAACCAAAAAATGTAAAACGATCTACAATAGTTACGGATCCAACTGAAAGTAAACAGATCGATCTGTACAATATAGATATGATAAGAGGGTTTCCATTCACACTAAAAAGACTGACCTCAGAAACTGTACAAATTCTAACTACTTCTAACGAAAACAGAAGGAATGGACTCACCACCTACTGAAAAATTTAGATTCACCTCATGATTAATGACCTTTGATAACATTTTACATACACAGTCAAGATTATGAATAAACACATCTTACTACCATGCAGTAGAAGAGATAATGCATGAAAATATACCGCGTGACATATACTCTTTGAAACCACGACCACTTTGTGGAGAATAGCGACAATAAATGGTGCTTATGCTACAACTAATATGCCATGTCGAAACAAAAACATTCTTTCAACCAATGACCTAAAAGTTAACCTGTTTACTGCAACATTTGACCATATATTCTAGGTGTTGGAACTGTGGAGCTGTGGCTCACTAGTATGGACATGTCTTACACAACGAGTTTTCACGGATTACAGGACTGTTCTATCTCGCGTCTTTCAGTAACCATGCTGCCGTCATAATCGACATCAACATAGGACCAGGCATTGCTGTCCAATGGTTGCCACCTAATATTAACACATCAGACGAAAACGCACTGGGATAAAAGATAAAGAAGTAATCGCCCAAAAGTAGTACAAGGTAGCAGAAGAGAGGAGTAAGGAACGAGAAACTACTGAATTCAGTATGACGATTAAGACTGGGATAATATGATACATCTGCGTGACTGACATCGATTCTGAGCTATGTCAGCTAGTTTTGTTATCAAGCAGACCCCGATCGGAGGTCTACGTCACCCTATATGGCTCAGATCAACAGTCAAAGACTTTACGGACTAATATCATGTTTTATTCTACCCGTCTTTAACCCTTTTCCATCTTAAACCTACTTCAGCTGACATTGTGCGAGAGGGCAGATGGTGACTAGGCAAGAGTAAAGCATGTCTCAGTGACCTGACTCGATGAAGGTCTACAGCCTTATCAATTGACTTTCCTCTTCTTTATGAAACTCTACGTCTGACTTCTGCATCACTGGCGTGGTGACACCGACACCACAGTCTATACTAAGAAAGGGAACGGTGGTCAAATACTTGAAGACTCCACACGTCCTCTACCTTCAATGGCCATGTTTCACATACACAGTGGAACAGAGCGTACTGTAACGTAGTACCCTCGGTCGTCAATAGACAGTCGAATATCACGGCGGCGTCATGAATGGCGTAAGTCTGTGAAAGCCAACCGAAGCTATTGTATCTGTGGAGAGACTTTGGTGGTCACTGACCCATCAGGGCTGACCCGATATCCCAGGTAGGTGGAGTGGTTAACGCCTCCAACCATTTCACTCCCAACTGTTAGACATGCACCAATGATGACCGGTGTGGGAGCGACAATTTTCACTTGGGTGGTGAAAAACGCGCCTGAAACGCTTTCAAATTGCCAGTCAAAGTGTCCAGAAGACCTCATCTTATCAGTGTTTTCACCAGACAGGACTAGGCAATGTGTATACTCTTGATCTACTGGGGTGTTTCCTGTAGTAAGATCAATCTCTACGAAGTTAAACGACGTGATGGGGACCCGCATCAGCATTTCTATGATAAGGCTGAATGAGAATTAAGACAGTAGATATCTATGACGAAAACCATTTAACAGACAACTCACCATGGGCTCTAACAATCCTACATGTGTTTGAGTACAGAGCGTTCAATAATGTGATGTACTTACTCCTCAGCCTTTTCAGCGAGACGCTGTCATAAGATCTTTGATCGAAGGTGTCGAATGTCACTCTTAGATCGAGAAGTACAGTCGTGCTGCATCTTAAGCTGCCACATAGTATGTGTGACTTACTGCGTATTGCACAAAACTTGCATGTGTCTGCTAGTTATTTAACTAAAGCTGCTTGCGAGGCTTTCAGAAGAAGGTAAGAATCACCTACTGATGTAGTTACTACTCTATTTGTCAACAGCTCAAGAAAGATTTGGATAGCTACGCAGGGAACCACGGCTTGCTCTCAGCCAGTTAGGATACAGATTGATCCTAAAAACTTAATGATGTCACATCAATCTAACACACGTTGTTTTATTCATACCGTCTGTTTCATCGGGATTATTACTGTGAACTCGACTTGTATACACCCCCCTATGAGACGTCTAGTCTCACCAGCTACCATACCACTTATGATTTATATTTCTACTATACTTTCCGTTTTCTTCCCTCTAACTCTGCGACTTAAACCTATCCATATAAGTTCTGAATTTCCAGGGATATTTTCTTCCATTTTAAGTTTCCTAGTTTTCGCTGTTTTTCGCCGTTCCCTTTTTTTTCTTTGCTTGTCTTCTGTCTCCTGATCTTTTTTTTATGACCATTCCTAACAACTTTAGGGCTACGCGACGCTTGAAGAAACTATCTGCATCACAGACTCAGTACAAATCATACACCTCTCTACAAAATTAACCAACAGCAACTACTTATAGGGTTTTGCCAGAGCTACATCGTGATAGGTTGCATCTACTGCAGCAGAATCCGCCAAACTTGGGACCACTTCCCAAGACATCGAAATGAGTGCAAAAATATCATTTGGTTCACACAAATCAATCTACTAGAGCTGATAACCAATAAAGTAGCACTATGGAAAATATACTTTCTGTATTCTTATATATAAGAATGTATCTTAGTATATTCACGGAGCGTTGAGAAAACCAAGATGTTTGTAACGACTTTAGCCTAGATATCTAAAATCCTATTAAAATCTGTATGAGACTACGTGCTACGTACACAACCAATCACCACCAAAATTCGACAATATCGTTAATTTGCTAGTGTAATTCTGAAGGCAAACATCAAGAGAAACGATTTCAAACGAGACGTAAGACAGAAGATTTAAGGACAGTTCGCTTACCCAACTTGTGTTTATTGCCATTTATTTGGACACTTATGAAACCAAAGCAATGACATTTAGGTAGTCCGAAGCAACATATTTGCCGCTTATACACAACAAGTGGCTTTATTGCAACATTCGCTATTCAGTATTCAGTAATCAAGATAGCAGACCAACTGGCACGTGTTAATCCTTGCAGTAGGTTTCGCTGTGAAGATCTAGTTCTGCTCGGATGAGTTTAATGAAGGAGCTGATACCTATTTTTCGGGTAGGGAGTGGCAGTAGTTGACTGCTCTGTGTTAAAAGCGTAGGCTCATGCCAAGTTGCTTTAACCGTGGCTTCTGAACTTTCTTGTGGTAGCCTCAATGATAACCAATCTTTTGGAGAGATAAGAAATAAGACATGCCAATCCCAAGGTCACCGTTAAAAAAAATGAAGAAAGCTAATATTAGAACTCCTCTTCTCCTACTAAAAGACAACAGGGAAATTTGGTTTCTCTAAACGGTCTCCATAGGATACGTTAGACAGACAAGTCATCAACTTATTACCAATTCATCAAACGTCCTCTACTGCCTTGGCATCTTCTGTGAAGCAAGGACTAACTGCTTGAATGTAGTATTCAAAATGCGGTCACACAAATGTGGGGTACATTATCCGAGACATCTCTTTATGAAGCATTTGAATCTTTGTGAGGATGCCAGAGTGCTCCCAATCTTTTCCCCAAAGCTTCCACACAATCTGCAGACCTTTTCAAGCTGTGGCTGACGATAACTCCCAAGTCTTCAATTTCTGTTAATTTGACATTTGTGCCCCGTCCATCAGATACTGACGACAGCTGCTACGATCAACACACATGAATGTAGATTTGCTAGAATTAATTTCTAGACATCACTGCTTGAACAAACTGACTGGCCCACTTATATCCTCTTGGTGCACATTTGTCGTCATTGTTGTAGATGACCATCCACAATTTCACATCATCGTCGAAAATGACGCCAGTGACTGATCACATCCAAGAGTTCCTTAATATAGAACAGGAAAGGGATATGACCAAAGACCGCCCTTGCGGGACCCCACTCTTCTCAGTTCGCTACGTAGATTATGCACCATTCACTCTCACTCTTTGTCTCCTATTGCAAAAAGTCCTTTGATACAAGCGTGCATTGTAGTGTCAAATCCGAAAATCCAGGACTTCCCACCAGTTCAGTGTCCGAAACTTTGGAAAGGGATTTACCGAATTCGACGGGCACAACATCTTATCTTTCATAGCTGCTACCGATTCTTCTCCTGTAATGAGAAGGTTAGCTAAGCAAGATGACCAGCGCGAAACACATGTCGTAGAGGTGTAAGAGGACTCTCCTTTTCTATATTCTTGAGCATTCTGTCTGTACTAAACCACTCTGGTACTTTGATAACTGCACTAGTTAAGCTAACGCGACCGCACTTCGTCACAAGCTGCTTATTGTATGCGCCGGAGACTGAGCTGACCAGAGTTTTTCCAATATTTCAGGAGACGGGTCTGAAATTGAGATAAATTAAACAGTTCCGCGGCATGAAGACAATGTTAGTCTGGAAGGATAGTAGCTCTGAATCCATACCATGAGGTCTAGGGAATTTCCTAGGCTTTAGGCGGCACATTAGCCGAAAAACTACCTGCCTTTTGACGTGAACTGGGCCTATCTTTGGGATACTTTTGGGAATACTGGCAGGTGTGACAACTCCGTCTAACGAGAAGACGTGCCGAGGTAATCGGATGGCTGTTCACTTTCAGAGAGATTAGACCCACCCAACTCTTCTGAACCATCAGTTAATGGGGGAGATAGACTCTACCCTTAACGTGCGAAAACAACCGTTTTGGACAGATCTGGTAGTCGGTCGCAAGTTACCTATCGTGTTTTATTCTCAACCCCTCGGCATTTGATTTACAGGTATTACTAACATTGCAATCACGAGTCTTGAAAACCTCACTGGTGGTTTCTAGGAGCAGGCTCCACAGTCGTCTCTTCCTCCCTAGAAGCCCGAGGGTACTCTTACCAACCAATGAACGGGCGCGAGAATTTACGGATGCTGACCATGAGATAAAACGTGAGGTGCTTTGTCAAATGTAGTGGTAATTCTTTCTCAAGTCTTGGACAGTCTAGCGTGGTTGAGCACTGTCTGATAGGCGGCATAGTAGCGTTCCATACATTCCGCCTAAAGGGGAAGGAACCATAATTTAAATCGTGCGTGCGACATTTAGAGGGGAATACTGCTGATCGCTATTAGCTGGTGGAGGTAAGTATATGAGGTCAGTTGCTACCTCTCTTTCATGTGTGAAACCAAATCTGGGACTGATGGTTCATGCTCCATACCAAAAAGCGTTGCATTAACAATGCTTTGAATGAAAGCACCCTCTGAAACTGATAAAGGTTGTTATCAAAAAAGATACTTGGATCCCGAGATTTGAGCTACAGCCGCTCAGCGTGAGGTGCAATTGGGTCACCTTTTATCGGCCATCCGTTACTACTACACTGCCCTGTTGTGTATCCCGGATGAGGCCGTTTCCAAACCAGCATAGACTTCGGTACTTGAACAAAGTTTTAACTAAATCAACAAACGACTCAACGTCGTAGCCTATTAATTGGTATGCACCTTTCCGTCCGTCCCTTTTAATTCGACCCCATACGTAATCCCCCGTGTATATACTGTAGAACTCCTCCACACCTGGGACCCAATATTCTGTAGTCTTTCATGTAGGAATACTCAGAGAAGAGTAGTATCCAAACCTACTAGGAGCCAGATTACTCTCACAGCAACCACTTTAGGCCTTAATTCGTCGACCAAAACGCGCCCATCTCTCCAGCCTTCCTCAAGATGACGGTCCGGTGGGTCCGAATATTGGAGTCATGCTCCTTGTGTGGGTTACCCAAAATACTTTCCACCCCTTTGTTATCTCCTTGGGCCACTTGTAATATCCCCCTCTTTCAGGTTCATTTCCGTCCTCCCTACCTAGTCTGATCACCTTAAAGATATCCATTCCATACAAAGCCCTTGGCAGCATGTGCCGAACGATGCTGTGAACCAAACGCAAATCATGGGTGTAGTGCTTTGTGGGGTCGTATCCTTCGATTCTTTGACATTCCAGAAGATAACACCAGCAGTTGGATGAGTGTCCTTGGGCCTCGCATTGACAGCTTTTGAGACTCTTTCAACTAGCTTTGCCACCCTAGTACTTAGAGGCTTCCTCGAAGCTTTTTCGGTTCAGCTCAGCCAGCACCAACCGTCAAATCAGAATTATTTGCCTAACCGGTGAGGTCCGGGTGGCCGATTGTTTGTAACTCAGCTAGTTCCGCTGCAATCCAAGATTTCTTCTTACGGCGAGTCCACGTTCTACAACCCTAAGTCCCAACCCTTCCAAATCACTTTGATTTTTCTGATGTCTGTTTTTCCCATTAGTCTGACTTCGATGACAATTGCTACATTGTTGCCCGAAATATCTCTCCATGGAGAGGAAATGCCCACCCAGCCAGACTGCAGCGTCTTAGCTACCACAGATTCAAGAGCTTTCTGAGTGAGGATGTGCATTGGCTTGCGGTGGAAGTCGCAAATCCATCTCCAAGCGGGCTAACTGCGGATGGTGTTGGGCCAGAACGGGCAATGCGGTACCAACAGCCACAGCCGCATGACGTCCTCCATGGGGAATCAGCATTCAGGTCGGCTCCGGGTATTTCTAAGGCTGGTGGGGCGGCATCCTGATTTCGCTCAATCTTTGAAAATCAAGGAACCACCCCACCAGCGTGTGTTAACGATACCCATTACCGGGAGAAAAGGTCGTTTGTCATACGTCACAGACGTGAGAACGAAGGTATGCTACTCTATGGACACTGGTACATAAGTTAGAGTCCTTCCCGCAACCGCTAGCGAAGGTCACTCTGCAATCAGCTAACAGCGAAGGGACTGCAGTCTTTGGGAATCAATTTAGGTTTACGCAAACTTATTCACCAAATTTTTACTGTAGCCAAAGCTTCCATGCCCACTCCTGACATAAATTTGCTGAACCATGGTGACCTACCTGTAGATACCCTTATTCATCGGTGGAACCACCTACGTAGGCCCGAAATCAACTGAAGCTGGAACGAAATACTCAATCAGCGCCTCCTTGCGGGGAGTGGCATCCCAGTCAACATTCAGGAATGTCAAACAGGAGCCAAGTCGCTCGATTTCCTTGAGCATACCAATGAAGATAGAGAAATGCCCCCTTTGACAGATAAAGTGGAGGATATTCAAGGCTATCCAAAGTCAACCACTACATGTGTGACTCTGGATGACGTGACCAAACTCGCCTTCTCCAAATTCAAGGAGCCCACCACAAACTCAACCACGCTTGTGCATCGCGACTCGAATGCTCCCTTGAGTACAAATGTTGGTGTATCTGGTGCAGAAATCGGAGCAGTCTTGCAACAGCTGATTGAAACCAGCAGCGGCCACAAGCCATTTCGTTGAGGCGGCTGCAGGAGGCGGAAAGAAGCTATAGTTCGCCTGGTGGGCAACTCCTGGCCACGCGCTGTTCTGTGCCCCAGTTTCGACACCAAGTTGAAGGTCATGATTTCACCATTTTAAAGGACTGCGAGCGGCTAACTAGCGGCCTCCACATGGAGGGAAATAGTGTAAACAAAAGAGATCCGACGAGGAAGTGGTGAGAAAGCGATGAAGAAATGGAAAGAAAGAACGGAAAAGAAGAGGGAAGCTGTGCAAACAGTGCTGGGGTCTTCCCACGCTTCCGGTTTATTTCCCATTTCAAACACCATTTGACTGTCACCACTGTTTTCGCCTTCATCAGCCCTAATCCCTTATTTTTGTTGGTCTGGAAACCTTCTCTCTTAGATCGACACTTGTTAGGTACTTCCTGAGTGACAAGCGAAAACAGAACTCCGCTTCTTAGTTCACCTCAGGTACCTACCACATCCGAACCAGATAACTGTGTGGCTGATGCATTGCCTCGAATATTTTTGAGAAGCCGTATGGGAGGGGCCGAACTTAAGGATCCGCATGACTTCAGAAAG